AATAGAAGTACTAAAAATTTTCACACAGGACATAAATTTGTCCACTTGTGTAGAAGCGGGTATAAATAAAATAGGACTTTTGTATTTGAACAATAAGATTAGTTCTTTCACAAAACTTCAGGAATGATATAGCTTACATTCTAAAGAATTATTTTCCTATGTAAGAATTGTGTGCTTTTTAGATAAAACTCAAACTATAGACCAGGCCCCATTGGACTCTATGGTTAATCATGTAAAAAATCCTGGAAGATTAGAAATGTCATAACTAAACTTGGTCACAAAAAAAACCAAATTCTATAATAAAATGGGAAGAATATTTGGGAAGTACATTCCAATTACAATCATGGCTTAAATCCTTTGAGACAATTAGGAAAACAATTCATTGTTTAAATTTACAAGAATCTTTCCTCAAACTTCCTAACCGCTGGTGTTTGGTTCCCACCAGATTGTGTAAACTTCAACCATTCTCCTCTAACTGTTGTTAGAGATGTGAAAGAGAAACAGGATCTATAAAACACTTCTGGTGGTACTGCAATAATTTAAGTAAAATCAAAAATATTGTTTAACAACTTTTTAAAGATTTAAATTGCCTGAACAATTTCTTTTCCATCTCAGATTTTCTAGATTTCCAAAACCAAACATTAAGCTTGGTCATCCATATTCTGTAATGTGACAAAACTCTGCCTTGCCAGATATTGGAAAAAAAATAGAGACTTCTTATCTTAATGAAATTATTGCACAGATACATTTTTAAGGCACTATGGAAAGAGCTGTATATTTTAATAATGGCAATACTGAAATATATAACAGAATATGGACTCTATGGTTTGAATACTGCAAACGTGATAGATAGTGGCATTCCCATATTTCAAACTAAAGATGTATGTACTGAAAGCAGGCATAAAAAGGTCTCATAATCTGTTTACATGGAAGTGACTGGCACTCAACATAGAGCATTATTGCCATTAAAGGACCACTATAGTGCCAGGAAAACATACCTGTTTTCCTGGCACTATAGTGCCCTGAGGGTGCCCCCTCCCGCCGGGCTGGATGGAGAGGAAGGGGTTAAACTTACCTCTTTCTCCAGTGCCGGGCGGGGAGCTCTCCTCCTCCTCTCCTCCTCCTCTTTGGCTGAATGCGCATGCGCAGGAGGAGCTGCGCGTGCATTCAGCCAGTCTCATAGGAAAGCATTCATAATGCTTTCCAATGGACGCTTGCGTCTTCTCACTGTGATTTTCACAGTGAGAAGCACGCAAACGCCTCTAGCGGCTGTCAATGAGACAGCCACTACAGGCTTTAGAGGCTGGATTAACCTATTTCTCTGAAACTGCTATGTTTATAGAAAAAAGGGTTAACCCTAGCTGGACCAGGCACACAGACCACTTCATTAAGCTGAAGTGGTCTGGGGGGCTATAGTGGTCCTTTAATTATTTACATGCCTAGTAATCATAAGCATTGGTCAATTAGCCATATGGGCAAAACACTCAACCTTCCATGTATTCATATAGACCCTAATGAGTAAAATCTCTGTGTGTTTTTTTGGTTTTACAAAATACTTTAAAAATAAATGTTCCATTTTTCATTTGCCTACAACTTTGATTTTGTTTACTTTTTGAGCCTCAAAGGCTCCCATCATTAATTTATCCATCACAGGAAGCTACAGGTGGAACACATGTTTTCCTTTGGTGAAACGCATACGCCCACTTTGATCATAGGAACGAATAGCCGAACCGGAAGTGATGTCGCACAACATCACAAAATCGGCAAAACCTGGGAAATTCAATTACAGACAGCTGCATCAAAGAACAGACGCCCAGTGAAGCACCAATGAGGAATAACAACCTTCAGTATAAAAGAAAGGACTCAGGGGGGAGGGATTTTATTGTTCATTTGTATTTGTTTTATTGCGGTTACATATCTGCATACCAGGAGGCCCCTGAGGAAGTCCATCGGACGAAATGCGTAGGACCTGGTACGAAAACACCTTATATGTACCTTTATACTTTTAATTATTTTAAATAAAGAAGAAACCTTTTTTTACTCCACATCCTGAGTCGTATTTTGCCTTTCTTGGAGCAGGAGCAGTGTTAATACCCCCCATCTACAGGGCCGGCGCTTCCTATAAGGCGAACTAGGCAGCCGCCTAGGGCGCCATATAGGAGGGGGCGCCCTGCGCCCCCATCGCCGGCCCTTTAAATTCTGCAGCCACCTGAGCGCTCTATAGAGAGCGCTCAGGCGGCTGCCGCAGTGCCTCACCTCCCCTGCCCTGCTGTAGCGTGGCCGAGCTACTTTCCGGTCCGCGACCCGGCGGGACTGAAAGGAAGTGCACACTGAGTGTGCACTTCCTGTCAGTCTGCTGGGTCGCGGACCGGATAGGAGCTTGGCCACGCTACAGGGCAGTGGGGTTGAGGTGAGGAGAATCTGCTGGGAGGAGGGGGGGGGGATGAT